TTCCATCTGACTTCTATTTATCCCAGTGATACTTGATGTCATATTGGTAGGTTAAATTTTATAATCTTAAGGTGCCTATTTGAAATTGTGTGCTTTTCTTCAACACTTCTATTCTGAAGACCACTGCAATGGTTTCTTAATCAAACATTCAATAAACGTGTAGTATAATTCTGAGATGCCTCTTGGATACAGGTGTAGGTGGGATTATTATGTTATGTTTGCCTTGTATTCTACATTCTCACCAATTTTCTTGAGACTGAATCAGCAGGCATGACTTGAAAGTCATAGTAAAACCACCTTTGCAAAAATTATAATTAAGAAAATTATTACAGTGAAAGAGATTGGACCTAACTGACCCCATTTTGCTTCTAACTGCCAAGCTGTCCGTGTTCATTCCTGGGCATAGCATAGGCTGAACTGTCGGAGGAACTTAGTTTATGGTTTAACTTTGATACAAAGACCATAATAGCCTGATATGGTTTGACTCTGTGTCCCTACCTAACTCTCACTTTGAATTGTAATAATCCCCATGTGACAAGGGTGGGACCAGGTGGAAATAATTGAATCATGGGGGCAGTTCACCCTATGCTGTTCTCATGAGATCTGATGGTTTTATAAGGGGATTCCTCCTTCCCTCAGCACTCACTTTGTCTCCTGCCACCAGGTGGCTTCTACCATGATTATAAATTTCCTGAGGCCCCCTTCTCAGCCATGGAGAACTGTGAGTCAATTAAAACCCTTTGCTTTATGAATTATCCAGTCTCCGGTATTTCTTCATAGCAGCATGAGAACAGGCTAATACCATAAATTCGTACTGAGGTAGGGGGGTGCTGATATAAGGATACCCTAAAATGTGGAAACGATTTTGGAACTGAGTAACAGGCAGAGTTTGGAACAGTTTCAACAGTTCAGATGAAGACAGAAAAATGTGGGAAAGTTTGGAACTTACTAGAGAATTGTTGAATGACTTTGACCAAATTGCTGATAGTGACATCGACAATGAAGTACAGGCTGAGGTAGTCTCAGATGGAGATGAGGAACTTATTGGGAACTGGAGAAAAGGTCACTCTTGCTATGTTTTAGCAAAAAGAATGGTGGCATTTTGCCCCTGCCTTAGAGATCTATGGAACTTTGAACTTGAGAGAGATGATTTATGGTGTCTGGCGGAATAAATTTCTAAGTGGCAAAGAGTTCAAAAGGAAGCAGAGCATAAAATTTTGGAAAATTTAAGCCTGACGATGTGATAGAAAAGAAAAACTCATTTTCCGGGAGAAATTCAAGCCTGTTGCAGAAATTTGCATAAGTAATGAGGAGCCAAATGTTAATCACCAAGACAATGGGGGAAATGTCTTCAGGACATGTTAGAGACCTTCCTGGCAGCCCCTGCCATCACAGGACCAAGATCTAAGAGGGAAAAATGATTTTATGGGCTGGGTCAAGGTCCTTCTTGCTCTGTGCAGCCTCAGGGCATGGTGACCTGTGTCCCAGGTGCTTCAGTTACAGTCATGGCTAAAAGGGCCCAACATATAGCACAGGTCATTGCTTCAGAGGGTGCAAGTCCCAAGCCTTGGTGGCTTACATGTGGAGTTGGGGCTGCAGGTGCACAGAAGTCAAGAATTGGGATTTGGGAACCTCCACCTAGATTTCCGAGTATGTATGGACACACCTGGTTGTCCAGGCAGAAGTTTGCTGCAGGGGCAAAGCCCTCATAGGGAACTTCTGCTAAGGCAGTACAGAAGGGAAATGTGGAACTGGAGCCCCCACACAGAGTCCCTACTTGGGCACTGCTTAGTGGAGCTGTGAGAAGAAGGCCACCATCCTCCAGACCCCAGAATGGTAGATCCTCCAACAGCCTGTACTGTGCACCTAAAAAAGCCACAGACACTCAGGGCCAGTTTCTGAAAGCAGATAGGAGGTAGGCTGTACCCTGCAAAGCCACAGGGGCAGAGCTGCCCAAGATTGTGGGAGCCCAACTCTTGCATCAGCGTGACCTGGGTGTAAGATGTAAATTCAAAGGAGATCTTTTTGGAAATTTAAGAAGTAAAACTGCCCTATTGGATTTTGGACTTGCATGGGGCCTGAAACACCTTTGTTTTGGCCAATTTCTCCCATTTGGCATGGGTGTATTTACCTAATGCCTGTACCTCCATTGCATCTAGGAAGTAACTAACTTGCTTTTGGTTTTACAAGCTCATAGGAGAAAGGGACTTGCCTTGTCTCAGATGAGACTTTGGACTTGGACTTTTGGGTTAATGCTGAAATGAGTTAAGACTTTGGGAGACTGTTGGAAAGGCATGATTGTGTCTTGAAATGTGAGGAAATGAGATTTGGGAGAGACCAGCAGTGGAATGATGTGGTTTGGTTCTGTGTTCCCACCCATATCTCACTTTGATTTATAATAATTCCCATGTGTCCAAGGTGGGACCAGGTGGAGATAACTGAATCATGGGGGCAGTTCCCCTCATGCTGTTCTCATGACAATGAGTTCTCACAAGATCTGATGGTTTTATAAGGGGTTTCCTCTTTTGCTTGGCACTCAGTGTCTCTTCTGCAGCCCTGTGAAGTGGTGATTTCTGCAATGATTGTAAATTTCCTGAGGCCTCTCCAGTCATGCATAACTGTGAGTCAATTAAACTTCCTTTCTTTATAAATTAGCTAGACTCACGTATTTCTTGCTAAAAGTGTAAGAACATACTAATACATAGCCCTTTCCCAAAACCAACTTCTTTCTTGTCTGGGGTCTAAACTGCCTTTGCAGGACTAACATATTAGCCACAAGATTAGGAATTATGGTTTACGAGTCATGCAGCTGGAGGCTGCAAGATTCTGAACCCCCCAAATTGCTCCTGGGGATAACATCTCTATTGTAAACCCTAAGATCAGTGCTTGAGGTATTTTCAAGACCCTGCACTTGATGGATCAACTGGTACCACCCAGATAGGTAAACTGACTCAGCAAAAGAAGACAGCTTCAACATTCCCTTGATTTCATCTCTGACCCAACCAATTAGTACTCTCCACTTTCTGACCACCTACCCACCAAATTATCCTTAAAAACCTCCATCCTCTCCTGAGTTTTTGGGTAATAATAAAACTCTAGTTTCCTGTACAGCTGACTCTGTGTGAATTAAACTCTTTCTCTATTGTAATTCTCCTGTCTTGATAAATTGGCTCTGTCTAGGCAGCAGGAAACGAGAACCCATTGGGAGGTTACGATAGTTTCAAACTTGGTGAAACTTCACTAATTCAGGCTGGAATAACTTAAAACTTGTGACAATTTGGACAGAATCCTGGGTTGGGATTTACTTTTATAATATTAATCATATCTCCTCACAGTGCATAAATTAATTCTGAAACTCTTTGTAAAGAGCATAAATTAAATCTGTGAAATATTGTAGGATGTTATAATTACAGAACACATGACTTCCATGAATTTCAGATGCACACATAAATTAATAAATAATTAACATGATCCTCCTTCCATTCCATTTGGGTTATATATCTAATAGTCTAGATTCATATTTATGTATTTACATTATTTGAATTTCTTTATCCTATAAAAAATAAAAGACATTTGAAAATAACTAGGTAGAAGGCAATTTATGGATATTAATTTGATACCAGAGGAGTCAGATTCAGGACTTTATTAACAACGGTATAACAACCAGTCATAGAATACCAAATAACATATAGATGTCTGGACATTGGCCTTCTAACCCCATTTTTTTAAGTCCTCTTAAAACCTATACTAGGAAAACAAATTAGAATTGAACTTTTGGTCACATTTTTTAGCTGTCCTGACCAAAATAAGTAAAAGTGGTTGCTTTACAAATACACTTTATGACTTGATTTTTAAAAACAAATTCAGACTGGTTGTGTTAGAGTAGGTAGCTATACAGACATTAGCAGGGCAGAAGATGCTCCTCCCCCAAGAATGTCAGGTGACCATCAGGTGATGGTCAGGCTGTCATTAAACTGTCTCTTTAAAATAATAATCAGTCACAGCAGAGGCAAGGAAAGGGAGACTCCCAAAAGATAGAAAACACCTGAAGCTGGTGATCAGCAGCTTCCCAATAAGATCTCAGGAGTTGGGTGAGTGGGCTCAAACATGTACGGTAAGAGGCAAAATGGCAGAGTTTAACTGGTATATGACCTTCCTCTAGGAATACTCAAGTGGTAAGGGAAAAATGCCTCAAATGAGCATGAGCACAACTTCAGTAAACACACTGCAAATGTGGCTCCTCCCAAGTGCTGACAGGCCACTGCAGGAGGATAGCCCATCCTAACAAAAAATCAAGGAAGAAGACACACAAACCTTGGATCCATGCCAATGTATAAAAACCTCAAGTCAAGGGTCAAACAGGGTACTTGGATTTCTCAAATTGCCCACTTGGCCCTCTACCAAGTGCACTTTGCTTCCTTTCATTACCGCTCTGAAACTTTTTAATATACTGTCACTCTTGCTCTAAAACTTGCATTGGTCTCTCACTCATCCTTATGTTCCTTGGTTGAATTCTTCCCTCCAAGGGAAGAGTTTGCTGCAGACCTACCATATTTACTGCTGCTAATATTATCCCCCAAACAAACTTGTTTCAATGAAGTTTTACTAAAGTTTGCCTAATTAACATAAAAAGCAAATTATGCTATATTATGCTAAAGCTTAAATTTAAGTCATATTATAAAACAGCAGTTTTACTTTTTTTCAATCCATGATTACAAAACTACACTTAAACATCGGCAGAATAAACATTTAGAAGATGTTTTTAGAGAAATACTTTTACCTGATCTAACAAGTTAATTTCACTGTTATTATCAAATCACACTAAAAAGATATATATTTACTGTCATATTTTCAACAGTAAATTTTGAGTCCAGCACAAAATCACCTGAGGAAATGTAAGGGAACACACACTGTGTACACTACTTAAGAGTATTCCTCATACCTTTATAAAAATCATTTAAAAGGAAGAGGGAGGAAAAATCATAGGGCTTTTTTCATACCTGTGGTTGGGGATGAATCCAGACCTCCACAGTAGTAGACTCTTTCATGGGGGTGCAAGATCGCATGATCTCCTTCATTGGCTTTAGAAGGGAAGAAAATAGAAGTATTTTAAGCTGTTTGTTAAAAGTAAAATACACAGTACATTTCATATTAACATTGCCTACAGGTAGCTAAAATAGTGCCTGGGTAAATTATCTCTTTTTAGAAATCATAGTTTATTTATGTAACAAATGGTTATTGAGGGTTAACCATATGCCACACGTAGCTCTAGGTACTAGAGTTAAAAAAGAGAAAAAAAAGAAAATAAATTTATTTTCTCATGGAGTTTACATGGAGTTCTATTATATGTTCTATTAAACATATGAATGAAATTGTGGAGGACAATTTAAATGATACCAGTAACCCCAGTGCTTTGGGAGGTCAAGGTGGGAGGATCACTTGAGCCCAGCATTTTGGAGGCTGCAGTGAGCTATGATTCTGCCACTGCACTCTAACCTGGGCAGCAGAGCAAGACCTTGTCTCAATAAAATAAAATAAAATAAAGATAAAAAAATTAAATATTTAAATGGCTGACATTTAAGCTGTAGAAAATTTCTGTCCAATGGTTTTGCAACCTAATGGTTTCAAGGGTTATATTTGTGAATGTGCTCTTGTTGCAAATTAAAATCAATCTTGTGTGTGCCACCACAACACAAATTTGCTATTTGCCATACAAAGATATGTAATAGATGTGATAAATGCCAAGGGATTTAATAGATGTGATAAGTGCCAAGTGTATTGAGGACGCAGGTCCTCTGCAAATTATCATCGTCTTTTCAGGAATTAACAGATTTTACCAAAGATGTTCAGTTGTTACTTATGTAAGGAAGGAATACCAAGTTGGAAGTGATTGAAGAATTATCCTATATCTTGGCTATTGTGATTAGTGCTGCAATAAACATAAAAGTGCAGGTATCTTTTGGATATATCAATTTTCTTTTCTTTTTCATTTTTTTTTTGGATATATATCCAGCAGTATGATTGCTGGATCATATGATAGATCTATTTTCAGTTTTTCCAGGAACATCCTTACTGTTTTCCATAGTGGATGCATTTACATTCCCATCACCAATGTGTCAGCATTCCCCTTTCTCCACATCCTCTCCATTATCTGTGTGTTTTTGTTTGTTTGTTTGTTTTGTTTCTGTCTTTTTGTAATAGCCCTTTTACCTGGAATGAGATGCTATTTCATTGTAGTTTTTATTTGCATTTCCCTGAAGATTAGTGATGTTGACAACTTTGGGGATAAATACCCAGAATATATAAGGAACTCAAACAACTCAACAGAAAAAATTGATTTAAAAATGGGCAAAAGATATGAACAGACATTTCATAAAAGAAGACATGCAAACAGCCAAAAGGTACATTTAACTTTTTTTTAAAAAAAATCAAGTTTATTTGGGTTGCATTTCACATGCACATTTTAAGCATCTAATTTAAACATTCTTTGTCAACTGTGGGCAGTTCAACATCTGCTAGGCTGCCCTCTGTCTAATATATAATGCTGTATTCATATGTCCATTTAATTAAGCAGGGATGCGGTTTTACGTGGTTAAAAGTATAAGTCTACGTGGATGTATCTTGCACATTTAAATTTGGCAACTAAACATGTCTACTGTATAACATGCTTCAGTATTCAAACATTAGAAAAAATTATTTTGCTTTGTTTTGTACAAAAATAAGAACTTAAAATAATCCCCCCACCCCTGCCAATATTCTATCACTCCCCGCCCCCTCCAAAATCCCATAGTTATAAGACTAAAAACCAGGAAATCATCTAATAGAATAGCCCCAGTATACAGGACTACTGAGACCTAACTGTAATGCAAGTGAGAGAAATGACACTTGCAGGAAAACTTAGTGATTAACTACATTTATCCTTGACTGTTTTAAGAAAATGAACTATGGTTCATCAGTGACACCTGAGAAATAAAATGCAGATCTGCATTTCTCTTTCCTTACATGTACCACATACTGAACCAAACGATCTTTCCTTTTATGGAATTAGATGTCAAACTTTCAAGAAAAGAATAAAATGCTTTATAAGAATCACAGTCTTTGTAGATTTAAGCCACATTTTAATTCAGTTCATATTAAGATAGTGCTCAGTGCCAAAAAGTGAGAAGTGTGTTTTAGCAATGATCTTAACGAGTCTTGAGAAATGTCACTGGCATTATTGCTAATAATAAAAAATAATAACTTCTAAGAGAAGGAAGGATAGATATTGGATCTTATTATTATTCCTAAGTTAGAGATTACTTGGTAATGGCTTAGACATTGGAAGGGAAGTTGACTTTGTTTAAAATTGCATTAATGCTTCAAGCACAAATACATTGTTTCAGTGGTGATGTTGTGTAAAGAAATAGACATATGTGAGAGAAAACGGATAGGTTTATATTATTTCCCACCTTTTAGAATCTAGAAATTCTATAGATTAAAAATTACCGGTAATTTTCTTGAATTATTTTATTTATGGAGGAGGTAGGAAGAGGCTGGATCGTAAGAAGCACTGATTAAGAGTAAATGCTCAAAATTCTATTAATTCCATCGTTTTTGTCAAAAAGTAAGAAAATTTTAAGGCAAATTCCAATTCACAGAAGTGAGAATTATTTCTCAAAATAAACACAATAATAAAGTTTTTCAATAAATGGAAAATATATTTGCAGCTTCCAAAGGACTCAGTCTTTCATGAAAATAATACGATGCAGGTAACCTAAAAGAAAAAAATTCATTTCCCAAAATACATCTGCTTTGCAAAAATAGGCTTATGAAGCAAGATAATTTGATTGAACTTTCTAAATCTGGCCGGTTCTTCTTGCTGTTCTTAAATGTTTTCCTGACAGTGTCGCACAGCATCTGAGCTTTAGTAACTTCATGCATCAACTGCTTTCCTTCACTTGACTAATTGCAAATCTTCTGGGAGAGGTAAACTCAGACTGGTTCTGTGGTTTTGTGATTTTTTTTTTTTTTTTGAGTCTGACTCTGTTACTTGCGCTGAAATGCAGTGGTGCAATCTTGGCTCACTGCAGCCTCAACCTCCCAGGATCAAGGAATCTTCCCACCTCAGCCTCCTGAGTAGCTGAGACTACAGGCACATGTCACCATGTCTGGCTAATTTTTGTATATATATATATATATATATATTTTGTAGAGACAGTGTTTCATCATGTTGCCCAGGCTGATCTCAAACTCCTGAGCTCAAATGATCTGTTTGCCATGGCCTTTGAAAGTGCTGGGATTACAAGTGTGAGCCATCTCATTCAGCCCCTGGTTTTGTGATTGTTTTCAGGACAAATGTGGAACGCTTCCTTTCTTCTGGCAATTAGAAATTGTATTGTAACTCAAACCTAATGGTAAGAAAATCATTCTTACAATAAGATCATGCTATTTCTGAATACAGTCTCACCATTATTGTTTCAAAATCTAGCAAAAAAAGAATCCAGAGGCGCATTGGTGCATTCAGCAATTACATTTCTTTCTCAAATGCAGTAGGTTTTCCACTAGAAATGTAAGTATGCTATCATTTTTCTGGGTAATCAAACCCACCGTGGAAATCTCAGGATTTACAAATACGTTACATTATAAATTGTCACAGTCATCACTTTATTTTAGTTACCAAACACTACAAGTGGGTATAACTGATCCATTATTGTTATCTTATTGCCATATGGTTGAAATACTGATAGATTAGGGCCAAAAAGGTCTCCTCAAATATGCATATGAGATAATTTTTGGAGAGTCCTATGCAACATCTAGCAGGATGATATATGCCTAAAGACATGTAAGTATGTGGGTGATGTTTCTAGTGATTACATTTATAAAACCTTTCCTTCATTCTCATTTCCATATAAGAAAGCATAACCCTTACTGTGGAAATAACATTAATCAAAACTATGGCAACGCTTACAAACATAAAGTGTAACTTGATACTTATTTTTCCCAGGACATATATAGATGAATGATTTTCATTAAAAGCCTTGACACAATATCAACTTTTAATTTTTATAATGTTATAGGACATGTTTTCTAATTGCTGTGAGTATGATCCAGAAGTTTCCTGAAATAGGAGAAACTCTCAGTTAATTACTACTCTCTTTAATGTTTCTTTTCTCCTGACATGCCTTTCTGCCTTATATTTGTTAGAGGTTTTGAGATGTATTTTATATGCAATATTTAAGGAAGAAAAGATAGATATTTAAAAGAGACTAAAATCTACTCAACAATATGGTACAACACTGGAAAGGATAGCACCTTTGGAATCTACATCTGGCTCTACAGTCTACTAGTTTTATGAAGTTTGTCAAGTTATTTAATATGATTCTCAGCTTCATCATCTGTGAAATGAGTATAATAACATGAGCCTCATAACATACTTCTATGATACTGAGTTACTATAATAAAGTGCTTGGCATTTTATAATTATCCTCTTGGTTTGCACTATTATGGTTTTATCTTCTCTAACAACATGAAGCAGAAGCCATTCACCATGTGATTCGTTCTTTCTCTCTATCATTCTCTATCCACCTCTCTCTCCCCTTGTCTCTTTTCTAAGTGAAGCTATCACTTTAATACAAGAGAAAGGCCCTGAGCAGCCCTGCCAGTGATGGAGAATGCTGGCCTTACAATCTTCTATTCTCATTCAGAAATGACCCTCAGTTCTCATCAGTAAGGTACTATGAAGCAACTGAAATTTGTTGAAACAATTAATTCCAGTTACTTAGAGGTTTTTTTTTTTATTTTTTTCATATATCTGAAAAATAAAAATTTACCACTGCTACAATAATATGATGAGTGAGGGTGCTGGGAACAGGTAAGGCAGACATTAACTATTCTTTACTTATTCCAATTGTTACATAATCTCTAGTTGGAAGAAGCCTGTTTTGATTGGACATAAATTCTTCTTACTCGGGTAAATATAAGTTTTTGTGTGAATTTAGTTGAAACTTCGAATTCAAAAGTTGGTTTTTAAAACTGGAGATTTCTCAAAAACTTAAATTTTGAGAACAGGTATGAATCATATTTATTAATGCTTATAGTAAGG